TGAGTGTCGCGGGACACTCTCCAGTATAGCTCAATGGATCGCTGAGGTGCGCAAACCGTCACACCACGGTAAGATCCAGTCTCTTCGTGACGGTGAAACTCTCCGGCGATAGATGAATTACTGCCGCTTCATAGGCTGCGCTGGTTGGGATATGTAATGCGCATGCCGGAAGACCGTCTGCCTCACAGTGCTTTTTTTTCCAGCCCTGTGCTGACTGGAAGCGATCGAAAGGTGGATGGTGTATGACCTGGCAACGAAGTACGAAAACACCAACCAGTAAACTTAGTCGGGTGGGCAACGGCCGCCTCTCTGCATGGAGTACCCGGGACTCAAATCACCAGCGGTTAATGACACTGGCAGAAATGGCCCAATCGCGCACTCAGTGGCGCTCATGCATCAAATCTTTCGCCTTCACTGCTTAGTTACCCAATCTCCTGACAAACTGCACATGACTTCACTTGGTTGTACGTCCCTTATATCCGTTTTCCGGTGATCGAAACTGTAGCGGCTGGAATCATTCTGTCCATGGTTCACGGGTTATAGACGATACATTGAATTGAATTGGCTTTTCATGCATTAGCAATGACATGACATCGTTAATGACCCTGTGGTCATTCTTCCCTGAGGGTACTCAATTTACTCTCGAAGTTTTCCCAGGTTCATCGAATGGGCTTCAAAATATTCTAAGTGCGACTTTTTCTGGGGTACTAAATCCGCATAAGGATCTCCCTTTTTGAGGACTGTGGCGTACCGCTCTAGATCTGCTTTACCGCTGCTCTTGTATGTGCGATTTCCGGTCTCATGATTGAGAGAATGAACCCTATTTTCCACATTCTCACATAAGCATACTAATGTCTAGGGGCAGTGGCCGAGGCACATATCAAGCGCTCTTCGTAAGTCTGTTTCTCCTTTCCTACAATGTACATTGATCGTGATTTTCTCTGCAGTAGAACATATCCCGGAGTACTTGACTAGGTTTAACCTCACCCCACAGTCTTCTATCTCCCGATCAATCTCGGCTTTCATCTCTTACCGAAGTCTGTCTACACAAACTTAGAAACAGAAAGTCTTTTGATATGGATATCCTAGGGATACATATGAGTGCTGCATATAGCGGCGTTGCCTCTAAAACTACGTTTTCTCCTCGCACCGTTTCCAAAGAAATCAGCGAAAACTCTGAGTACAACGGCTCTGGAGTGCTTCAGTGTATTTACGTGCTCGCTTCTATCTTCTTGTCAGCAGCTACCCGCTTTCGTTCCAACCAATGTGAGGAATTAATCACTGACCTAATGTTTCTAACACTATGCTCACTATACTCAAAATCATTCTTAACATTTAAGTGAACACAGCATGTTAGGAGGTTTTGATTTGAAGTTATAGGATGAGCGGAGAGATTAATCTTTCGGCTTGGTGACTTCATTGACATTTAGCACTACTAGGGAATATCAGTTAAACTTAATCGCTTTTGATTGGAAGATGTTAAAAGCTTGATCCGTGTGTTTTGTGGACTGATCACCTTGCGTTTCGAATTGTAAGACTGTTGTAAGAGTGGTGAGGTGTTAAGGAATAGCGTTCACAGTGTTTTGCCCATTACAGGCTTCTTTTCTTTACTTCAGCACAACCTTGACCCATTTCACAATCATGAATTCGGACACTGGTGAAGAACAGTTCACACTTGAACAGTTTGTTGAGGACTCTTCAAATATTATCCCCTCGTCGGAAATCGATCCTCCTCCTCCGGTCATCTGTCATGTGCCTCCATGCAAATCATCCGACCTCTGCATCCCAGAAAGTGAAACGGTCAATAGTGAGGCCGCTAGGCTGAGCATCGCTTCTGATTTGAGTCTAGAGGACTCCACTCCCGAAACGAAAAAGTCCGAGCGCACATTTACCCAGGCGGATGGTATGTTTTTACTCGACTGTCTGCAATATCTGTGTACTGTTTCAGATTTTCAGGACCTTTCAAAAGAAACTGAGTACGAATCGGCTACACAGGTCCATTCAGGTTCGTTATGCCATTCTTATAATCTACCTTTCTCCCCCCTGTTAGAACTGAATTCCGAAAACTCCAACGGGTACTCGTAGGTTCTTGTTTTTCGTTAAACTCTGTTTCATTTCATCAAAAAGGATTTACCGCATTGGAAAGTCAGCAAATCAAGATCATTTACCTGTGAGTTATCTTCATCGGTGTCGTTATCCTGTATTTTTGCAGGTCTTTCTATCAGTAGTTGGGTATGAGCATTGATTAGCGGTGTACTTTTATCCACGAGTCTGTCTGACTTCACAAATAAACGTGTGTCAAGCATGACACCCTTCCAAAAGTTCAGCTCATTTGACCTGTTGGCTTCTTAGTCTGTGATAGGATCTACTTTCGAAAACCGAATCTATGCTACCAGTTTGTCTTTTCCCTGGTTAATTGCATACTCATTTATGAAAACACCGGGCCATTTTCATACATTTTGAGTTCAAGCACATGTTGCATATGATGTCTAATCGTGAAAACGCCCTTGCACATATCCATAAAACCCGATGTTACTGTATTTGAATGGGATTTGGCAGTGTACGTCCAATATTTAGGAATGACCGTTTCTGACAACACATTCCAATCTGGAAGGAGGCGCGAATCCCGTGGGTTACAATTCAAAAATTGTTGGGGAATACCAAATACCTAGCTACACCTACGCGTGATTATTTTATGGTTAACAGCAGCCAATACACCGAGTCGAAGAAGTTTCATGATAAATTAGGCGGAACCACCGCTTATTTTACCCATACATTCTCGTCCTCGTTTTCCCATACCTGTGCAGTCGAATCAGCTTTGGTGCCAGAGCGTACTACTGCCTGATGAGGATTAAGGGGTGAGATGGCCTAAAGCTGCCACCTTGACGTGGTGGTCGGGCTTGAGTGCTGCAATGATCCCGCGGGCTACACTGGCTGGAACTTCGTTCCACAAGGTCCAACCAAGCCAGGAAGGCCAAAGAGGATCAGCCAGACCAAGAGCAGCAAGACCCCGCACTACGAGTAATCGTGGTACGAGGCGGTCTGGGGGTAAAGTCGTACTGTCCTCTGCGACAGGAGTGTGAAGGCAGTAAGGTGTTTCCCCCAGGCGACCAGCATGTCCATATTTATGGAAGCAGCGATGCTGCCTTCCCCCGAGGAAGGACGGGTTAGAAAAGGTCGGCCCCAAAAACCGCACACTCCGATCGCCCAACGGTTGACCGTGACCGCCGGCGCATTATCCAATACGGTCGAAATACTTTTAAAACCAAAGAGCCCGGTGCTGCTCAA